GGCATTGATAATCTTCCTGGTTCTTGGAGACACATCTAAGTTTTGGAATAATCCTTTCTATGAGTCCTTGTAACATTAAACTGCATAATTTTGCATAATATTAAAGGGATGAGATGGGAAAATAGATTTTTGAAAAAGTATAATTTGTTTCCCTAGGCAGGAGGTGTTCTTTCGCTAATAGAATGCACGCTAATTGAGGAAACTGATATGAATGATGATGATTGTAAGTTATATCAAACTGTTTAATATAATTTAATGTTTACATATTTTTTTAAAAAATATATGTTTATTTTCCCCCTGCATAGTATATATTAATATAAATCATGGGAAATGCCTCTGGTACAGGTTCCAATAAAAGGAAAAAGGAGCTGTGATTGTAGAATTTGTGTGGGTTGACTCTTCTCTTGCATGACTGTTCAGTAAAGGACTGGGCAATCTGTCAGGGGAGATGAATTCCAACTCCTGCCCCCACACCCTAGCCTCCGCAGACCACAAGATATCAGGAGATATCTTGCATCCTTCCAGCACTACAGCTGGAGATTGGCTTTACCTGTCCTCTGTCCATGCAAGGAAATGGCTGGAGTAGTGAAAGAGGCTCATTTGTCACATGTAGATTTTGTCAGATAGCAGTGAACTTTACTTTTCTTCCTCTCCCTTCTTTTGTATTGTAACTCCCAGAATTTCGTAGCCATAAGGAGTGTAGGATTCTAGGAGTTATAGTCTAAAAAAGGATCTTTTCCAGACTCTGTTCCTCTGTCTTCCTTGTTAGAGGAAGAGGGGAGAGGAGCAAACCCAGCCATTCCCAATCAGTGTTTGCAGTCATTGGCTCAGTCTCTATAAACTGGAATAGGCCCAATGGGAAGGGTTTTCCTTTCCATGCAGTAATTTAGGCCTGTGACTCTAATATCATCACCATTTTTCTCCTGTATGGTTTTTGACATCTTCGTCTGATGAAGAAGTCTGTGAATTTTTTGAAACTTGCATAATGTATTTTATGCTTTGGAGTTGGCCCAATAAAAGTATTCAAGTTGATCAACCACCTTCTACTTTTCTGGCCCTGGATTTTATAACCCCCTACATTCTCTTCATTATATGTTTTGTAGTATCTATGTCTTCTAGCATTTAAAAATAAACAGCTGTCTTGTCACAGTACACTGATCTTCATTTTGCTTCACATAATTTTGGCACTCAGTTTTCCTTGCCTGAAGCTACTTGTGCTGGTAGCTGAAAACAGGTTATTAAAAGTTTTGCAATTGATATATCTAGTGAAAACGCATGCATGTAAATATCTATTTAGATGAGTGATAGGCAAAGTACAACAGTTTTTACAATTCTCCACTTCTCCAGACTTCTTGGATTTGCCCTTCTTCTGTCCAGAAAACAGGTCTGAAGGTTGTCTTTTCTGGGCCCCTCAAGGAATGGCAATTTACCTTTTAAATGGGTTGTAGGAACCCCCATCACTATTCAACATCAAAAAGTAACCAAGGTAGCTTCCAGCCACATCCTTTGGGAGGCATTTTTGCTCAGAGAACCCCAGGGACAGAAAATTGGCCCCTGGATCAATTTTTGCCCAGCCCTAATTTAGATTCTGGTTGTATTGCATGCATACCTGTGCAGTATACACTTTTTATTATTATTTTTCGATGATGACCATTGAGCTCCAACTGTCAGGCTGCAACTGATTAATTCTCCTCCACAATTATGAAGCAAAAGGTTCCGGGCAAGTATTTGGACACCTTGACTTCAAGATCGTGGTAGAACCAGCAGATGCACCTCCTTTTACAGTTGTCCTGTTGGCTCCTTCACGTCAAGAAAAAGCAGCATGGACAAGCGACATTAGTCAGGTAATGAACCTTTTTTGGAAATTGTGGTTTATATGACAAGTTAAAGTCATCTTGTAACACAGATAGTATAATATTTTAGGCACTGTTAACAAAATTTTGTTACAGCATTTTTTGTTGTTGATCTGGAGCAGAGGTGTGGGATATATTGCCCCCTTGATGGTGATAAACTACAATTCCTATAATTCTTCACCATTGGACATATGGTATAGTGGAAGTTAAAATTCAGGAACATATAGAGAGCCAGACTGCTCACCTTGACCAAGAACACAGAATTTAATCATTAGTTTAATTATAGTTTAATAATTAGAACATTGGATTAGAAGTGCTGGTATCAAATTTAAAATCTTATTCAGCTGTGCAGTTTATTGGATGATTTTGAGCCAGTCACTAACCAGTTACAGGACATAGCTGTAACAAGAAAAGGAATATGGTGGGTGGGATGAAATGAAAATCCCTGTGTGTTTTCCTGAAATTCTTGGAAGAATAATGTGATAGAAACGAAAAAGAATTTACTTCAGTTTCTTCAGTAGTTTACCATGTAGTGTGACTGACTTGATAAGAAAAAAAGACATCCCAAACCCCTGTCGTTGTATGGATCTTCTTATAGTCTTCTTTGCATCTCAGTTAGCATACAATCCATGCATAATATTCTGCAGATAGTACATGCTTTTCTTTCCCACAATTCATATTCTGTTTTTTGAAAAGGAATGAGTGCTATTTCTGCACAATTACTGTACATCTGTCCTCTTCTGCACTAGAATAGCTTCTAATACATCTACAGAAGAATGTTGAACCAAATAGTGGGAAGACTGAAAGAAGGACTTAAGAACGGAAAAGTGATCAATTCTCAAAAATATGGAATGGACAGATGCTGAGGGTCAAGATTTTCACTTCTGCTAATGGAAAAATATGTGTGTGCTTGAGTGTATGATTTTGATAATGTTAATTCAGTCTTAATAAAATAGCAATAATAAAAAAAATATTTTATAGGAAAAAAGAAAAAGACAGTAGTCAGAAGGAGGCTCAACGTAAGATTAGGATGCATTAACTGTGTATGCTCACACTCATGCATGAAGACAGTCAAAAACAAATATGTATTCATAGCTCTTCAGTGATTGTGTACAGGCATATTAGAAAGTGAAGTAGAAAAAGTTCATAGATGAGGTGCAGACTATGCCTCCTCCTGAGATAAATACCAGCAGCAAATTTCATGAAAAGCTCCTCTTGCAGAGAGAATCAATTAGATTTAGCAAAATTTTCTTATGGTTAAGGTTGAAAGCCTTACAATAGTTTTTCTAGAACAGTTCAGTTGGAATCAGTAAGCTGCTTGAGAAATAACCAAAAGCAAATGAGAGGGCATTTATCCCCCCTGCCCTGCTTTGGTAATATGATTAGGGCTGCATCATTTAATCTTTTTAATTGGTACATAAATCAACTAAAGCTTTAATCACATATTAAAATTAGCCTCTGATTAATTAGTATGGCTAAAACTAAAGGGTAAAACTCCTTCTGGCGCAGACACACACAGATCTTGTTCTCTGCCAAATATGATGAGAGAATAACTTGGAAATTGTTCTTAAACGCAGATACACATACATACATAGAAAATATGTCAATTTGATTCTAGTCCTATCATACAAACACATTTCATAAATATTCATAAAGGAGTTAAAAATGAACAAGTTTAAGAGCCTCATAGGCATTCTGTCTTTAAGGCAGGGCTTCATAGCTTAATTCCTATTTCCCCATTTTCTTTAAAAAGCCACTACTGATTGTCATCTCATATTGTAGATATATGGCAATGAACGTTACTTGAATTTTCAATTTTTAAAAATTGATACTGGTTGTGTTTACATGTTACAAGTATTTCAAAATTATGTTTCTCTCCCATGGATATGAATTCCTTCCCAAAAGCTTTACAAACAGGGCTTCAGAAAACTTGTTCTTTGGATGACAAATCCCAGAATTTGCCAGCCAGCCAGCCAGCCAGGGATTCTAGGCAGTGGCATCCCCACCCCTGGTGTCACCTGGTGTGTTTGGGAGCTGCTGTGAGGGAGAGGCCAAAAGGGTGCACTAGGCCCTCTCTTTTGCTGCGGTGGCAGAGGTCTCCTCATGAGGAAGCCTCTGCCACTGTGGTAAGTCTGAAGAGTGTTGCTCAGCCCACCCCTTTGCTGTGACGGTGGAGGTCTTCTAGTGAGGAGGCCTCTGCTGTCGCTGCAAAACCATAAGGGGCACAGAGGTAGGAGGGTCCAACGGCTGTCACTCCTCTTCTGGGGTATCACCTGGTGAGGGCTGTATCCCCCCCAATACCCCTAGTGATGCCACTGATCTGAGAGTTGTAGCTGAAAGTAAATTTTCCAAACCCTATCTATAAGCTTGTCTGCCATTCCATCAAATCTTTGAACTTTGTATCCATCTGATGAATAAACTTTATTCAGTGCAATGGAATTATCGCAGTGTTAATTAAAGCGGCTTATCTGAGCTGGCTTAAAATTTAAAATGGGAGGTATCCTGATGTTATCACAAGGATTTAGCTGCTGAAATCACCACCCATGTGCAGCCTGGGTCCATCCCCGCTTCCAGGGCCGCTCAGCGTGGCTTTTTTCGAAGCCAGGAATTTTCCAGCTTAAAGAAATGGCCGCCGGAGCAGCCCTGGGAGCGGGGATGGACCCGGGCTGCACCTGGCTGGTGATTTTGGCATCTAAATCCTTGTGGTAACATCAGAATGCGGTCCATTTTAAATTTTAAGCCAGCTCAGGTAAGCCACTTTAATTAACACTGCAATAATCTCCAATGTTTCCCTAGAAGATCTGCAAGATGAGACTGCTCCTTTCTGAACCTTAACCTCATGAATATGTAGGTAGAGAAGTACTGGGCCTGACAGGCTAGAACAGGGGTAGGCAGCCTGTCCCCTATAAGGGCCGAGGGACTTTAGCTCCCAGAAGCCTCAGCCATGTTGGCCAATAGTCCCATGTTGGCCAATAGCTCCTGGGATTCTGGGAGCTGAAGTCCCTCGGCCCTTAAAGGGAACAGGTTGCCTACCCCTGGGCTAGAATGAGAGAGAAAAAAGGCTGGCCTAAGGACTTCCAGTGATCACATAATAGCTGAGTGATGATTTGGTTGGCTTTGCTACTCTTTATTGCAGGATTTTACAGAGTCAACATGGTATAGTGGTTTAAGTGCTGGACTCACACTGTGGGAGACCAGGGTTCAAATCCCTGCTTAGGCATGGAAACCTGCTGGGTGATCTTGGGCCAACCATATTCTCTCAGCCTAATAGGGAGACAATAGCAAACCTCCTCTTAATAAATCTTGCCAAGAAAGCTCTATGACAGCATTGCCATAAGTCAGAATTGACTTGTAGGCACATAACAAATTTCATGGTTTTGCTGATTGTATTTTGATACTATATTTTCATTGGATTCCAGGGATGGTTCCAAATTTTGAGGTATCCATGGTTAAAGTTCCTGTGATGCCCCAAGAGTTTTGATTCTATTGGGATCTACCAGGAAAGAGGGCAAAGCAAGTAGTGACAGTATAGGTGGCACCAAGGGGGGAGACATTATTTTAGATACCCTGAGTGCTTCTGATAAGTAATAAGTGACATCCCAAAGCAACACTATGTAAAGGATGCTCAATTTAAACAGATGACCTTTTGGCTTTGGAGCTATTTACTTTTCTTTTCAACATCAAACAAAAGCACTGAACAAAAAGCATTTCTAAAAGGATCAACACAGTCCAATGCAGCTGCCCGCATATCTGCGCCAGATAGCCCTCTCCTCACCCTGCTTTGTGCTGCCAAGAAGAGCTTTGAATGGCTACAGTAAACAAGGGAGCAATCTATTTAATCCCTTTCCAGTGTCCCTGATGCGGTGTCGCTCCGAAGTGAGGCTATATGGAGGATATTGGGGAAAGGATTAAAACAATGGTTCCATTTATCCCCTATTGCGGCTGCCCAGCATTTCTTCCTCCCCCACCCCACCCCACATTGAAATAACACATCTAGCCCAGTGGCTAGACAGGTATCAGGAGACTATGCAGAGATCTCTGTGGTCTGGGATTTGCATGACCATGTTGTGTGCCTGATGGATTTGTTTTTCTTCTTTCTGGAACCATTGCAAACAAATTAATCTTGAACCTTCAAGCTACTGTCCCCTATATCAGTAGTATCCTATGGAAGGCTATATCTACTATTTATTATAGAAGCCTCCATTGATTGTTCATTGTTCAAATGGTGGAAGAGGCAACGAGGGAGTCAGCTATTTTG